TCACTTCAGTCGAACACAGAAGATTTGTAAACAACTCGTTTTTTTTCTCCACACATTCTTTTTTTATTTGTAAATAATAAAAATGAACTTTTTTAAATATATAAAACATACACATCATTTGAGCCACATCTGTTGTACAAACAAGACATGTTGCAGTGAACGCTTTACTTTTCTCTAGTTTTTCTTCTCACTTCAGTCGAACACAGAAGATTTGTAAACAATTCACGATTTTTCTTAAATTTCTCCTGTTTAATACTGACAAAGGAACGGAAGAGAAAAAAGTGACTTCACTTCACGATGGAAGGACAACTTGTGAAGTGAGGCTGAGGATGGCCCGTTGGGTTGGAGAGCAGCACATCTGAACTGCTTGGTCCCTAATCTGAGAATAATTACACTTGGAACTTGGCCTCTTGCTTTAATCAATAAATGGCTGTTGAATAATTATTCTCTCTGAACGTAAACTTTGTACAAATTATCAGCTCGAGATTCTGCATTTTAATTTATTAGGCTAAAAAATATTTATATATCTGATTTTTTATAACATATTGAACCACAACTCTGAAAATGTTGGGACATTGTGTAAAATGTTAATAAAAGGCAATGATTTGTAAATATTAAAGACATTTTATTCTCAATGGAGCATAGTAAATTTCATAAAAATGTAAAATTTTAGGTAAAAATAATGTATCTTTTAACTTTAGGGCAGCAACATGTAAAATAAAGTTGTTCCAGGAGCAACAGAAGGTTCTAGAAGTTACTCATACAAAAAGAAAATAATATTTATAACTAATTATGTTAGTTATTAACAGTATAAAAATAATGAGCAATTTCAGAATAAAGTTCCTGGATGAAATTCTTTAAATCTCCATCATCTCCAGATTATTAGACTCTGTAATCTCTGAGCTCAAAGGCTGAAAATCGATATTGGATGTTTGGATCTTCACTGCATTAAAGACGGGTTCTGGTTCCGTTTTGGACCTCAACACTTCCACATATCATCTGTTAACACAGTTCACTAATGCTGCCTAAAGCTCTATCACGCAAAAAAAAATTACACGATGCAGAACCTCGACCGTCTTCTTTGGACCAAAGTTCACTTAGTGTGGACTGAAGCAAAGTAAGAGTTAGAACTGTTCTGTTCTGTGGTCAGACGGGTCCAAATCTGAAATCCTGTTAGGAAACCACGCCCTTCATACTAAAGCCTGCCTCTCTGATGGTATTGGGGTGCATTAGTGCATCTGGCATGGACAGCTTAAACATCTAGAAAGGCTACATCAGTATATAAAAGTAACTATAGGTTTTAGATCAACATCTGTATCAATCCAGATGATTTTTGTTTTTCAGGGAAGGTTTTAAACATTTCAGCAAGACGATGTCAAACTGTCACCAGCTGAAAACATTTGACAAATCACAAAACAAAAAACTCCAGAGCTGCTTTCCTCAGGTTTTGGACCTTTACAAACTGTTGACTGAACAACTTTAAACAGAAATGTTGCTGCCATAAAATTTACCCCCCCCGTTTAATATTTTAGTTTAAACACTGTGACTGCTGGATATGAACACCAGTGACCCACGCGACCCTGAAAAGGAAGAAGCGTGTACAGAAAATGGATGGATGGATGGATGGATGGATGGATGTTCACTATGGCCCACTGTGTATAAAACATGGGGTTATGAGATTTGCAAATCATTCCAGAGTGTTATTTACATTTTACAGGACATTTTTGGACACGTGGTTGTATTACATCATCATAAACTCATAAAGCTCCTCTGAGGTTTTCTGTGACAAGGACTAATGTTCGGGGGGCTGTGAGGTGGGTCCGGTGCAGCTCGGGGAGGATCGGGAAAGCGAGATCCCAGGGTTCAGTCTGAGACATTCAGCACCTGACGGAGGAACGTGCTGCAGCTGAGCTCAAATGTCTTGGCTTTATGGGAATGGCTTCTTGGTTTTTAACTCTTTAATATTCAAGTACGAGCAAACTGTACAACTGCATGCAACAAACAAGCGGCCCTACGGTACGCAAAACTAACACGCATCTACTTCAGTGACTTTTTGTTTTTTGTACTTTTTTTAGTAACGGTTTTACAAAAGAAATGTGCATGCAGCTTGGTTCCCAAACTCAAGCTGCCCCCCCCCCCCCCCCCTCGTCTTGGTGGTGGGAGGAGTTTGCAGACCAAACAGAGGATGAGTGTTGGCGTCCCGACTTTCACATTCACAAAGCTGGACGAGGAACCGGATTCTTTTCTGCTCATCTGGAAAAGTTTGGCCAAAGTGAAGCCGGTTCTGTTAGTAATATAGATAATCAACATCTTATTTGTTGTAGATAGCTTCCGGAACACTCTGAGCTAATTGACCACTAAATCGGCTACGACTGTCAATTTCACAGCTAAAATGTGGTGTGGTAGTAGCTGAGAGTCAAATGCTCTGAGGGCTAACATATCGTTCAAGATTTTCATTTACAACTTGGTCACAAAAGACAGCAGGAGATAAAAGGTCACATCTGGTGGGAAATTGTTGTTMCCCACGAACGTAGTTACCTGAAAACATTCGCTACGTTCAAATTCAGGGTCTGCGTCCTCCGAAGCTTGAATTTGTCGGCTGCTTATGTCACAGTGCCACACTGGAGGCTGTTCAAATTCAAAGAACCCTCCAGTGCAGCCGACAACTGTGTCCGTTTGCACYGATTTGAGGGACAGGTCCAATAGATCTTTCTCGGCCCACCATATCCCATGATGCATTGCGGGCCAACCGGAGATATTTTTCTGCTCGTAATGGCGAACCAAGCGAGAGAAAGAAATAAAAATTTGTCGGTATAAAAAGGAAAAGTTTCAAGCGGTTGTGTTAATGCTTTTGTCAAATGTATAAACATGTTTTTATTATAATTCTTGTCAGAAATCAAACGAGCGAAATAAACATGCACCTTTTGTGGGTCAAATATTGCCTTTAAGCTAATTCTGTTGTTTTGTGATATTAATAATGCTAATATATTCATATTTTTCTAATTTTGCTTCGTTAGCCAGAAAACATAAGTACTGGAAAACGTTGTTAACAGAGAACATACTGTAGGTACCAGAGATTATAGGTAACCAGAGAACATACTGTAGGTACCAGAGATTATAGGTAACCAGAGAACATACTGTAGGTACCGGAGAACATAGTTGTGGACCCATTTCTTAAACATTTTTCCAAACTAAGGTGGGTCAAGAAGCTGCCTAAACATGTAGGATTTAAATTATTTTTAATTTTTTACACAGAAACCTTCTTCAGTTTGACCAAACTTTCCCTTCAATACCGAGACAAAAAATATGAACTGAACTGACAGGATTRTTGTTTTTATTTTTCCTCCCCCCTTTTTAAAATAACTACATATTTATCTATTTTTACAAAAAGTTACACTTTTTTGTAGTAAAAAAATCAAGCTCTTGTGCTTATATTTWAAAAAAAAGTCAAACTACGATTTGGATAAAAACCTTGAACGTGCTGGGGCAAGGGAAGGCACTCCCTCAGAAAGGTGAAAAATCGACGGTCTTGTCCATCTCTGACGTACTTATTTTTTGTTTTATTTTATTTTTTACAGTAACTATACCCTCGTGGCATTTCAAAGTGACAAACTTGATTTATTGGTCAACCTCCCAGGAGGCCTAATAAACATCTWTACATAGACGACCGGCCAGCACGCTGACCAGGACTTAAACAAACACTAGCCTTGCTGTCTGATGTAAAAATTTAAGGTCTTTGTGACGAACCACCATCTTGGCTTCGTTGTCACCCAGTTTTCCCCTGATTTTATTACACCTGACAGCGATTAAAGTTAGAAAAATCTGGCTTTTGCAGGCCTCTCCTTTCTCTGGGAAGCATTTGTACTTGAATGTGCATAAAAGAAACTGTTAGCATTTTACATCTTTTTACTAACTCAAACTTTTACAACCATCCATGTGGGTTTTCTCCAGGTACTCTTGTATTTTCCCAGTCTAAACAGATGCGTAAACAAAACTTAGTGATGTTGATGGGATTTGCCTGAATAAATAAAGGTAAAAAATTATAAACATGTAAAATTTGCATTTGCGCCCCTTCTTTTTTGTAAACTAACATACCAAACTGGGGGCTCATCCGGGATTGATGAGCTTTTTTTAAAGTCAGTCATTGGTGCTTTCTCTCTGTGTGTGTTTTCACTGGTAAGTGAAGTTTAGATATTTGGTGAAGAGAATTATTTGTGAATCATAAAGAAAGAGAACTGACTGCACGTAAATATAATTAWCCATCTAAATTAGAAAAATTAGCCATGGAATGCCCTGAGAGAATGGTTGTAAATCTATGAGGAAATTATGTATTTTAATGAAAACACACTAATCTGTTAAGCCTGAAAAAAGCTGTTTTGCATCTTAAACCATTTTCATATTCTAATAAACCACTTTAAAAACCCCAAAGAAAACAGAACTAGCCGAAACAAGGTGCCATCACAATCGTCACTTATTCCTCTCACAGAACACTAGCAAACATTTACGAGATTTTATATCTTTTTTTTTCATCCCTTAATTTTTATCTGTCCATGCACACACCGGACTGACAACATCATCATGAGCATTTGATGCACTGTAAAAACATTTTGTGCCTGTAGTAACAAAGGGAAACAGATGCAACAACAAAGAATCGACGCCTGGAAGCAGCCGTGGTAAACATGTTGAAAGGGGTATCTTTCGACGCAGAGAGGGACCAGTGATCGAGGCACCAGAAGAAGGCTCTGTGCTTCCAGACCGAGTACCCAAAGCTGGGGGAGGCACCCCGCACAAATGCAGGGGTGCCGGCAGTCTGCTGAGTTTCTGCAGGAGGCTGCTGCAGAAAAGACAGCACCGCCTTCAGGCGGGAGGGGGAATTACCTCGTCTCAAGGACGTACATTCCAATGCTTACGTACATTTCTTTGCTATGTTGATTCACTTAAAAACCACCCTGTTTCATTTTGATTTGCTTCTCGTAGTTGTTGTTTCATCGACCGGAGAGCGAGAAAAAAGAAGAACTAYGAGGTTTTTCTCTGAATGGAAATGTAACACTGAAACGTGACGCTCCCTACAACAGGCGAAAAAAGAACTGCAGCAGGAGTGATTGTCAGATTTCAACAAAGCTTTCTCCTCGTGGCTGTTTCTGATTGTTGTTCTACATTTCCAACTTTTTTTTGCTTCTCGCTTCAACAGTTCTTTTTGTTGTTTTGATTCCCCTCGGTGGACTGTGTAGAACTTGTGGTCCACTAGGATCGGACCCCGGGCGGTCCAGGCGAGCTGTCGAGAGACGACTGCGAAGCTCTCCGTGTCAGGGAGGCGAGAGTCGGGTCCACCAGGGAGGACGGCGGGAACAGCTTGTACCAACCGATGACTGTGCTGGACAAGTCCAACTCGTCTAGCAGGATCTGTGCAACTCCCATGAAGCTTTTATGGTCCAGACGACCGTAGTCTCCCCAGACGATCACCTGGAAGGTGAAAATTTACCCATCAAGCCCCACGGCACGACAGTGTGACTSTTTGATAGGAAGAGGAATAAACCCGATGCTCACCTGTAGGACTTTACCCTGCGGGCTCTCTTCAAACAGCAGTGCTTGCTGGTACAGCGGATCGAGCGTTTTCCGTGCAATCTTGGTTTTCTTTTTGGCTACGTATGCTCCGTTGTTCAGCAGGTAGACTTTAACGTACGGAGCTGCAGACRGAGACAAAACAAAAGAACATTAGTGGGAAACAAAATGGACGACGTTTTCACCTACGCACTTTTGAAGATTAAAGAAAACTTAAATAAACRGAAACATGCCAGTCCTATTAAAAAATCCTGAATTGAAAGTAGCAGGAATGTCTTTTTGTCCCGTGTAGATTTATGTCTACCATTTAGGAGATGTAACATTAAAAAGATATGATTAAGTGGAAGTCTCTGAGAGTTTGGGTGTGTGCTCATTGCACTCCGWAGGGACACACCGTGTGAAAGAAGACAAAAATACCTGCAATTTAAGGTATAAACTGTATAAGAATGGTAAAGTTTGTCRTAGTGCTACAACAGTTTGGCAAGTTTAGTGTGACATTTTCACCCTAGGTTGAACATTATGTGGTGACGTCTTTGAAAATCAGAGAAACTAAACTTTCTGGGTGTGCTGAGAAAAGGTTAAAGCGTCTGCAGGGAAAGCTAACCTCGGTGTTCAGATTAGCCGTTAGCTCGTCTCAGTTTAGGGTCTGGTTCTTACCAGGAAGAGATTTGGATCCCGGTTTCTGCACAAGTCCACGAGCTCTGATGACCTCCACCTCCAGCTGACTTTTCTTCTCCATCATCCCAATCTGGATGTCCCCTGAGTGAGACCAGACAGACGAGACCGTTAACTCTAAGCCTACAACTGGACAGAGGGAAAGAAAAGACGAGAAGACGGGAACGAAGAGTCCAGCTGGACCAGGCTCATACCGATGGCAGGGGTAGCCAGCGTTTGTCGGCCCACCAACTGGGCTGGTCCCAGTCCATCCAGGAAGTCACTGAACTGGCTGCCGGCGCCCAGATTCACTCCAGAAAAGATCAAACTAACAAAGAAAACAAAAACAACAGAGGAATCAGTCATTCTACCAAYGGGTTTTGGAGGTTTTTGTCCAAATGGACTYRATTTATGAGCTTTGACCAGCCGAGGGACAGGAGCATCCACAACAAGTTATACAAAAACCCCACAGAGACGGTGTAAACCGGACTGGAGTCATGGTGACATGGCACAAACAGCTTAAAGACAGGAGATGACGGCAGTTCACTGACTTTCCCTCAGAGTTGCAGCTGTTCATGCTGCTGTTGTTGGACTCTCTGCTGGSCTGCCGGCTCATGTTCCTGGGCAGCTCCACGGCCATGCCGGTCTCCGTGCTCCTCTGGATCGGCACGCCCTTCTCCTTTTTACTCTTCCCCTCTGGATGAAAGAGAAAAGTCAACTCAATTAGTATAGTTATCCATGAAACCTGATGAGTCCAACCAGTTACTTAAACTACAAACATGTCTTCCAGACATAAAAACATGGATGACTCTTAACTT